ATCGACAATATAATCAATCATTTACAGTTAAATCACCATTATTATTTGATATTAATAGTCCATTACCAATAAATAGACATTACAATAAAACTTATGATAAATCACCAATATTAATAAATAGAAATTCTATTGAAAATCGTCGATTATATTCATTTTGGAATTTATTCAATAGAAAAAAACAACGAGAACAAATTGGTGATAGACCATTATTATTTGTAAAAATTTTAAAACCAACTACTAATCATATTTGAAATTTATGTTAAATATCAAAAAAAAAAAAAAAGAAAACAAATATAAACAGATATTTTATTTATTTCTAAAGAAGTCATTTTTTTTTTGTTTTTGTTTTTGTGTCTTCTAAATTTAAATAAACAGGTCAACAACAAACAAAATATTAATATAGAAATTTCTATGGTTATTATATGATTAAATAAATTATTAATCTGATGTTATTTTTATACTTTTTTTTTGTTTTTTTCTTAATCTAATATTTAATCTGTCAATACGAGCTAATAACACTTGACTAGTATGAAATGAAATCAAGCAAAAAATTACTGACACATCTTGAAACATTGAATATACATCATTTGTTTTTTGGAGAATTAATACATGCATCAAAAAATAGAAAATACGCAAAATAGATTTTTGCTCTAGATTGAAAATTTGATCATTTTTTTTATGAGATAACAACTGAAATCGAATGATATATGACTCTTTTTTGGAGTCAAATTACAAAATAAAAAGTGAATATTGACTACTAGTGTAGTTAAACAATTTTATAATTATATTTCAAAAATGACACAAATTATATATCAAAATAATTATTTATAGTTCATCGAAAACTGTCAAATAACTTCTTTTTTTTTTTTTGTATTTTATGAAACATAATCTAAAAGACATGTTGAAGTTAAAATTTGGTTCTCTACCTTCTCAGACACTTTGACATACATTGTTACATGATCATCGACTGATGTCTCATTATTACTTTCTTATTGCGTTTGTCAAAAAAATTAATTAAAAGGATGGCGAAGTAGTATTTCTTAGAATAAATAGAACGCAACGACCTATCGATGATTACTGACAGCAATTACATCATATTTCACACTTTATACCCTATAGACATTATGCTAACAGCTTTTTTTTGTATGTGTATTGCAATAAATGACCGTGAAATAACATCTAATATAGGATTTAATTATTACCTAGTTTTACATGATTTCTAGGAAAATACAGTCGATGTCAAAAGTATTTCTTCACTTTTTTTGTTTTGAGTCATGTATTAAAACTACACAACATTAATTTAATTTCATTACATGTCTATATAGTAGACGTCAAGTACACCTGTTTAATATGAAAAACCTTTAAATATAAAATACAATAAAAAAATCGAACTTCAGTGCTGAGGAAAAAAATGCGCAAAATGATATTTTGGTTATAGGATACTTTCATGGGCAAGTCAAGCACAAAAAACACACAATATTCAGAAAACTTTCCATTCTACTAGACTTTGTAGAGCTTTTTCCGCTGATCATTATGATAAAAAAAACATTTTCAGTTTCATTGAGAAATGACGGTGTTATAGTCAAAATATTAAATACTCTGAAATCCCGAGAACTCCAAAATCTTTACAACATAGTTTGTTTTGCGAATATTTCTGCATAGACAAATGACAAAATCCTTGGTTTTTTTTCTTCAAAAGATGCGCCGTCGAAAGCTCTATAAAAGCTGTGAAAATTCTATAAACAAATACCGATTTCAAAACAAAAAAGTCTACCAAACATTTTTATTATCATTTTGCGCATTTTTTTCTCAGCACTGAAGTTTGATTTTTTTATTGTATTTTATATTTAAAGGTTTTTCATATTAAACAGGTGTATATATATAGTACTTGACCTCTATTATATAGACATATAATGAAATTAAATTAATGTTGTGTAGTTTTAATACATGACTCAAAACAAAAAAAGCGAAGAAATACTTTTGACGTCGACGCTATCAATTTAATACAATCAAGCAAAAAAAACTACAGTTTCACTAGTTTCAAATAAAATTTTTCTACTGATCAAAATCTGAGTCTTGTCATAAATTGTTGATTTTGTGAAACACAATTAAAAATAATGTTTTTTGAAGTATTTAGAATAGAAATCTGCATATCAATAATATTTCGTTCTGATATGTAAACTACTTAGTTATTGCATTTCTGAAGGATTAATTAAATAAATAATGAAGAGAAATATGTTCAAAAATATATAGAATAAAACAATCTTCTTGTGATTAGCAAGTCATTGTATTGTAAACGATTAAATGGCTACTTCTTAATTGCGGACAAAATTTCAGCCCTCACCAGTGGCGTACGCAGAAATTTTTCAAGGGGGAGCCTAACTTCGTAGGGGGGGGGGGGCCGGCCATGGCACAAAAAATTTTTTATCACGTGAAAATATTTTTTCCTGTACCCCCCTCCAGGACTTTTTCGTCTCAAAGGGGGGCCCCTCGGCCCCCCTGCGTACGCCACTGGCCCTCACCCACACTGTCGGCATGCTAATTGCTTTGATTTTCGTTCGCAATCAAGAAGACACGATTTCCCTACATGTTACGATCACTAAACAACAATGAATTGAACAATTTTTTTTCCTCTTTATGACAGACATACTCACATAATATGCAGAAAAGTATCACTTTTTCGTGAATGAATGATTAAGATTAAAAATGAATTATAATGATTCAAAAAAATCTCTATATAGTTTCAATAGATGAACAATAAGATATAATATGTAATTGACTGATATTTTATCATTAATACAATCTATCAAAAGATATTATCTCATTCAAAAAAAAAGTTGTATACAATTGAGATATTTTTAAAATTGTTATCTACAAAATAAAAATATAAGAATATAATTGAACTTAATTCATTATGTAGATATAAGAATTCAATTTGATAATATTCTCATTCAATTTAGTAATGAAAATTTCATTATATTGAATGATATACATTTTTTGAATTTACTAAATAAATATTATCTAATAGAATTTCAAGAGAAATCATTTGTTAGTTAAAAAAATGAAATTGATGAAAAAATTTCTTTCATTTATTTATTTTTTTATTTATTATCAGTCAATCATTTCTATTGAGTTATGCAAAAAAGCGTGACATTCTCTTCATCTTTCTTTTCTTGTCGTCAAACAACGAAATGACCTTCTTCACTAAATGATAAGTGTATATTTACAATAATAGCAAGTGTTCAATTGTGATTGTTAGAGAATATTCTTAGTATATGAAAAATTCATTCTTTTATTTTATTTAAATAAATAAACAATTGTTAAAGACTATTTCTTTTTTTTTTCTTATTCAACTAACATAGTTATTCAATCTTTCTAGTTGATATTAGTAAAAATTTATTCATGATTGGACTTTCATTTGTTGTACAAATAGTATCGAATATTTCTTTTCTATCTTAAATAATCAAAAGAATCATAAGGATAGAATACAAATACTTTCCCGTTCTACTGTTACACACACCTTGCTTCAATCAACCATAATATTAGAATATCGTCTTGACCCTAAATATTCTTCATAACATATGCTATGTTTTATAATCAATACTCATCAATCTTCACTACAAATCACTTAGTGATAATCGAATTGTTCGCATACTACCTTTTATCAAATTACCTATATATTCTTCTGTATATATATAAGATTCCTGCTATGACATTGAACTAAATGATCACTTACTTTTCACAAGTTAGTGATGGTGCTAAACAAATATGTGCATATGTACGCTTTGTAAATTTAATAAATAATATAAGAGAATAGATGTCTTTGTTCATTTTCTTTTCTTTTTTACTATTGTGCCTTTGAGCACAAGCGGTTTGCGTAATTCTATCATCATCAAGCACTAGAAAAAACCTTGATAAAGAAGATATAAATAATAATGAAATTACAAAAGCAATCGGATATAAAATATACGCCGTCATGGATTATAAACTATGCTTCCTAGACATTCATTATTATTATTACATCATAGGCTCTGACACATATATATCTTATGCTCTATCATAATGATGAAATTGACTCTCAACCGAGTAAAATTTTTTTTTTGTTGCCTTTTAAAGAAAAGAAAAATAAACTGTTCAAATAAGTGTTTAAATTATTCAATTGAGAAGCCATTTTGATAATAGAATTGATCAAGAAGAAGAAGAAGAAGAAGACTATGAAATAAGATTTAAAATATTTTAAAATAAACTTAATCAACAAAAAGAAAAATAGATTTCACAAAAGTAAGTGAGTAAAACTTATCTTCTTTATTTTATCTTAGATTTTCATTACGCAAGTTAAGAATAAAAATAAACTATATTGATACAATCGATTACACACACGTCATCTCAAACAAGTAAAAAAATGTCACACATTAAAGCTCACAACAACAACGACGAAAAAAAGAAAATGATTTCATAGCATGTCATATGTTTTTGTTATAATCACTGAAGAGTAGACTAGAGAATAAGACATAGTTGAACAATCGATAAAATGAAGAAATTTAAACTGAATGTATACCGATAAAGATGTCTCATCCAATCCTGTTAAATGAATCAAGATGACCTGTATATATAAATAGATATGAAGGTAGTAATTTGTTCGACAAGTATTCGTTTCTTGTTTTAGATTGTACAGACACGTTTGTTGATGGTCACGTCATCGTTCATCTATCATCATCAATGTGTTTATATATATATATATATACATATATCTGTTCACCAACATGAATTAGACATTGTATATTTATTCAAAAATAACCACTTATAGAATGTTTGTTGTAAATTCATGCAATAGACTATAGATATTAACTGATGAAGAATGATTTGTTCTTTTAATTATTAGAAACTATTACTTTATCTATGTTGTGATTAGAAATGAGACAAAATATATTGTTCAATTCTTTATAATATATATATTTTTAGATTTGATAAGTTTTCTTTTTTTTTTTACTTTCCTATGCATGTCTTCATTACGAATCTTAATTCTTTATATAATTTTGACAATAAGAATTATTGATAATAAAAATATTTATTTTACACAATCAACTTATGATATATGGTGTCAAGAAAATATTCTATCAAATTCATTATTTCTTTATCCTAATCGAATACGTACAGGTATTTATCATACATCAAATATAAAATCTGTCGTCTATTATCTTATTGATGATAATAATAATCATAATGATTTATTTTATGTTAAAACAAAACATTTAGGAGACTTTTATTTTTTTATTCTTAATATAACACGACCATTTGATATTAATCGAGAATATCAAGATATTTATATACTTAATATTCAAGCTGATATTATCACTACGGATGGAAATTGGACTGAACAAGCAAAAGTATGTATATTTTTGATTCATAGTTTAGATTATAAATTGCATTATATTCAATAGAATAGAATTTCATTTAGTGAAAGATCAAATTCTACCAGTATAGTTTAATATTTGACAAAAAGTTTGATGATGTCATTTCGACAACTGAATGCATTTATGAAACTAATAGAATCATCATAGGGTAAAATAAGAATCTATATTGATTGACTCTTTTAAGACTATAAATATGACTTTTAGTTGATGATAAACCATATTAAACTTTTATAACAAACTCTAAATCTTCAGTTATGTAATCTGTAGTCATTCATGCTGCTTATAAGAAGACTATCAAATCTATCTATAGGCATCATTTCAAACTAAAACTCTTTGTTTTGTTTAAAAAAGCCTTGCTCTCAGTAAAACAGTTATAACTCTCCATTGAACGATCATGAATCTAAATGATTTTTAAACTGGATTTTAGTCTTATCGAAGCCTACATGTAGAAATAATACAAAGACAAACGAGAAATATTCCTTCGTAAGACTTAGAGTAAGATTCTACAAACTCCATCAGTGATCGAAGGGCGAAATCCAAAAGTTTTGAAGACAGCTATTTGATGTTTAAACAAAAATATCTCCTTGTTTTTCTATTGAAAAATTTTTGTTCTATCAACATTGTATATAAAAATTATTACCAATATAGCTTTTTTTCTCTCCTTCAAGCTGATTGATAATTCTATTTGAATCTTCAAATTTATCTTTTATGACTGAATAAGTCGTTTATTGAAATGACTGTTTTTAGACTCAAACGAGCAAGTATTATCATTTGTCTCAAAACTCTGTACTAGAACATTCTTGACGGTTACTAATGCCCATTTCAAAAAAGAAGGCCAGTAGGAAGTATTTTAATAACTTTTGATAGAAACAAGATAAAGAGCTGCCGTTTTCATCATTGGAAAGAGGAGATGAAAATACATCGAATTGTATATTATAAATTTTTCTAAGATGTTCTCTAAAGCTTTCTTGATGAATTTTTTAGAAAAATGCCAGAAAACTGGTTTCTCATAAAATAAGAAAAATGCAGAAAAGTGATTTTGTTCGTGAGAATTCAGAGAAAAATCTGCTCAGAATTTTAAATAATGTCCCTATAACTTCTGAACGAGTTTGATTATTGTGAATTTATTTTAGTCACCTGTCGAAGTACGTTGATTTTCAAAAGCATTGATTTAAATCGTTGAAAAAAAACTAGATAAATTCATCCTATAATATCTAGTTGAATGCGTATTTATCTCCTCTTTCCAATGGTGAAAATCACAGTTCTCTATCTTATTTCTATCAAAAGTTATTCAAAAACAAAAATCCCCATCGATCTTCTGTTTTGAAATAGGCATTAGTTGTGAGATACAAAACATACATAAGTAAAGGATTCTATACAATTCTGACTTTTCAGTTTTAAAGACAAAGTTCAATTAGTTTGTTTTTAACATTTTCCTTTAGAAAAAAAAAAAAGCATGTCTCATTTTTGTTAGATTTATCTTCATGTTGCTGATTCAAATGATAATGATGGAGTATTTGATATGGATATATATGAAAAAAATTTCACTGAACCTATTGAACTTCAACAATCATTAATAAATTTTCATGCAAGTGATGCTGATGAAATTCAATATGCACAAATTCTTTATGAATTATCATCAACATTTAATGATATATTTTCACTTCATCCATATACAGGTGAATTATATTTAATAACAAATAATAATTTACAATCGATATATGAATTTGATATATATGCATATGATCGTAATCGAAAATATTTAATTAATAATAATAATATAAAAACAAAAGCACATGTTAAATTAAATTTTAATGAAAAAAAAATTTTTTATCAAATAAAAACAATATTTAATGAAAATATTGAATTTAAACAAATAATATCTTCATATAAAATTAAATTTAAAAAAAATTCTTATTGGAATATTTTTAATAATCATCAATCAATATTAATTATTGAAATATATCCTTATATAAAATTTTTTGAAATATTTCTTTTAAATAATTCATCATTAAATTCAATTAATTTATTTATACAAGAAAATAAAATTTATTTAAATAAATATTATTTTGATGAATATAATCTTCAAATTCTTATTTGTTTTTTTAATCGTACAAAATGTCAATATACAAATTATAATATTAATTTTTTAATTGATTGGAATTTATTTGAATTTTATTTTAAAAAAATTCAACCTATTACAATAGAAGAAAATTTACCTATTAATTCATTTATAACATATATACAACTTCAATATAATAATAATAATATTATTAATTATCAACAATTAATTATTAATTATAAATTATTAAATTATCATAAACAATTTAATCTTCATTCAAAAAATGCTATTTTACGTCTTGGTAAATATATAAAAAATCAAAAATATATATTAGATATTCAAGCTGATATTTATTTATTTAATCAAAATTATTCAATAAAAACAAATGTTGAAATAAATATATATGAAATTAATAAATATCGACCTTGTTTTAATAATCAAACATTAATAGAATTATATGAATTACCATATCAATTTCAAACATATGATTATGATGAAAATAAACAAACAAATGGATATATTACATATTATTTATCAAATTGTTTTAAAGATTGTCCGTTTGAAATTAATTCAAATAATGGAATATTAAATTTAAAAAAACAAAAAAATTTTATTAAAGAACATATTTATTATTTACAAATAATTGTATTTGATTGGGGTGAACCTATAAATTTTGAAACAAAAATTGATATACAAATTGATTTATCATCAAAATTAATTAAACGAAATTTAATAAGAAAAAAATCAGATATGAAAATATCAAAAAATCAATCAATATCATCATCATTAATAATACCAGAACAAAGGTTAGATTCTTATTTAGTTTTATGGTTTAAAAGAATTTTTCAAATAGTCACAAGTACGAACAAAAGTATAAACATAGAAAACTTATTCGATCCAATATGTAGTTAGAATAGTTGGTTGTAAACTCAAAAAGAATTAAAATTAATCAACTGAAAATTCGCTCTTCGGATGAATAAAGCAATACCATATGATCGGTCGTGCTCTATCAAGAGCTTTACAACATCTATCTTAATTTTCAATACTTCTATTTTCTTGTATTGTCTGTTTAAAAAAATAATGATGGTGGTCATTTTTGCAATAACTCAAGAAAGGAAAGAGTATAGAACGAAATCATTTTAAAATCAATTATTTCTGCAAAAGATCCATGAAAACGATCTGTCGTTCCGATGAAATTTTGATTTTGAGATATGATTTGTATAGAGAAAATTCAGATCTATTGTTTAAGATATAATTTGAATCATCATCGTTCATGCATTATAACGTTAAGAAAATCAAATTCTTTATTTACTTCCTCGAAAAGTATGAATTTCTCTTAATTTTTAAACAAATTTTCTTACTTTTTGTCAAAATTTCATATGAACGACAGATAATTTTTGTGCCTTTTTTTTTTTTGATGTTTTGTAAAAACGTTTGATTTTAAAATGATTTCGTCTTATACAATATTGAAGAAAAAGATGCTCTAGTATCGTCTCTTTCGACTAGTGAATACCGCAGGTTCTTGAGTTATTTCAAAAAATAGCCACGATCATTATTACAACAGTCGCAGTATTCTCTCATGCACAGGGAACATTTCCTAGTGATACTAGAAAAAGTCTAATATGATAAGAACCAATAGGTGATTCTTCTCAAGTTATGAGCATAGCATACACATCCTTATTCTATTAGGCCTTTCTAGTTTCACTGGATCCTATTTACAGTACAAATGTCAATGCAAACACTCTAAACCACTTGAGGTGGTCCTCTCATCAATATTCTTGTTATTAGAAGCTCTATGATTTAGTTTTTTTTATGAGCTGATTATGGTCATATATGATCGTCTATTTAATTTTGCATTTGAAATACCTCAAGAAATAATTTCACACTATTGATTTTTTGTATAATTAGATATTATTCGGCATTATCTTCAAATACAAAGACTATTTATCTTAATATTGGTTTTAATCAAAATTCAACATCTTATCATGTTTCAGAAGATTCTGAAATAAATACAATCATTGATCGTTTAAAAATTGTCTATGACTCTTTTCCTTTATACATTAATGATGAAAAAGATAATCTTTTTTTCTATATCATTAATGATACATCAGTACCATTTACAATTGATCAAAATGAAAAAACAATTAAATTAATAATTCCTCTTGATCGTGAAAAACAAGATCAATATACATTTGAAATTGAATTACAATTAAAATCTACTTATGCAATGAAATTACAAGAAATATATAGTTTTCAAGAGAAAAATTCATCATCATTTTATTTTCAATATTCAAATAAATATTATCAAAAAATATTTATCACAATTTATATTGATGATATTAATGATAATATTCCAATATGTAATTATTTTCATAAACATATTTATTTAAATGAAAATAAAATACAAACAAATATTTTTCATGTTCAAGCAATTGATCTTGATCAAGGTAAATTTTATTTCATTTATATTTTTTTTTTTTTTGTTGTAATATATAATCTTAGTAAATAGGTGAAAATGGTACAATATTTTATTCATTACTTGATTATAATCAATATTTTACAATTAATCCTTATAATGGACAAATTGATTCTATTCAACCCATTGATCGTGAACAAATACCTTTTCTTCTATTACATATCATCGCTTCAGATCAAGGTCAACAACTACAATTACAATCAATTTGTATGACATTACATATTACAATAGTTGATATCAATGATAATGTTCCTCAATTTTCATTAACTAATTATACTTACTATCTTTTTTCTGATTTACCACGAGACACAATATTTGGTCAAATTTATGCAATAGATTTAGATTCAACAGATAATCTAATTTATTCCATTGATTCAAATCCATATGTTAAAATACATCGACATAGTGGTCATCTTCGATTGAAATATAATCTATATCATATGATTGATCAAAACATAAATATTACAGTTAAAGTATCCGATGGTTTACATGTAAATTATACATGGATTTATATTTATGTCATACGTTTTATAGAAATACAAGAACCAATTCTTTTACGTCAACCAGCTTATGATATAATAATTAATCAATCTTTACCGATTGGAACTATTGTTGTAAATGTTTATGAACATTTGCAACTTTTAGAATCATCTATTGATTTTATTGATATAATTCATGAAGAAAATACAATACCATTTTCTATCGATCAACAAGGTATTCTTGTGTGATAAAGTTAACTGTAATATACTGTATGCTTCTGACGGAATTTTATTAAATGATAAATCACTATTGAGATAATTCTTCTTTAGTTAGAAAGGTTTATTTGATTCTAATATCTCCAATACCAATATTGAAAACTCTGTTATATGAAACAGCAAAGTTTATTCTTGTATTCATATCAGAGATATTCATCGCGGCTGAGGATCTGCCGCTATAGTTTTCAAAAAAAATGCTATAATTTTCCTGACTGTGACTGATGCCAACTAGAACTGCTATTGTTAATCGATCATATTCGTTAAGTCTTACAGTATGGCACAGATTAACGTCGAGATTCTGTTTTAATTCATGAATTTTTGAAGTTTCTTCCTAAAAAAGCTGCCGTCATCAGCATCTCTGATTCATATGTCCAAATACTCTTTAGACTTAATCGAGTCTACTTAATGAAATAAGATTCATTTCGAAAGCAGTTCATCATTTAGTAAGATTTCTGTATGAATAAAGAAGTCCTAGACTTTCCACTTCTTCCGATTCGTTCTCATATTGATTCATTTTGAAAACAAAACTAGAAACCCAATACTAATAATCCATCAAATATTCATTTGATAAGTATTTCTCGACAATTTTTTTTAATATCCTTAAGTTGATGATATAAACGTGTGACTTTTAATGATGTTCGAAGTGAAATCTAAAATTTTATTTAGGTTCTATTCGTCTTATACGTTCATTAATTGATTTATCTAATGCATCTTATTGGCTTTCAATACGTTTAACACGTTATCGTGCTCATCCACCACATTCATTTGTTCATATTCATATATCAATTCTAGAAGAAAATTTCTATTTACCACAATGTATAGATATTTATCAAAATATAAAAATTTATGATTATTCAATTCAATCAACATTAACTTCTATACAAGCATTATCATTCTATGATAATATTGATCTTCAATATTCAATAGTAAATAATGATATAAATGAAAAAATATTTTCTATTAATAAACAAACAGGTTCTATTCAATTATTATCATCAATTCAAAATAATTATTTATTAACAATACAAGCTTTAGATAATCAACATCAAGTATATGTTAATTGTTATTTAGATATTAATCTTATTCAACGACAACAATTAATACCAAAATTTTTATATTCATCAACATATAATATTGATTTAATAGAAATTTCATCTAATAGTAAACGATTAAGACAACGTTTATTTCAAATTATTGCTTTATTAGATCATGAAATATATGATAAAAATCTTGAAATACATTATCAAATCATTAATTCAAATCAATATTTTATTATTAATCGTCGAACTGGTTATATAGCTTCCAAACAAATATTATATTCTAATAAAACCTATGAATTTAAAGTAAGGAAAAATACTTCATAAAAATCATAATACATAACGATATATACAACTAATTAATCACTTTTCTTAATTAGTACATCAACAACTCTTTTTTTTTTTTAAAGGAATAAAAAGAATTCTTAGTATTTTATTAAGTATTCATTCAAAAAATAATACATATATCGAAACGAAAAGAGTTTAGATCATCTAGATCCTTATCTCGTAAACATCCATCTTACAAAGCATGAAAAACATTCAAATAGATACATAGATGTCTTCATCCACTGTCTGTTTAGTTTTGTTAATTCGAATTATATGTTCCAATTAAAACTTTAGCATAAAGTTTTATATCTTTCGAAAAATCGACAAATGTGTAAGTCGAAAAGGAAATTACAATGACGAATATTTTACTATGAGTATAGTTGCTTGATGCTATCCGATTTAATGTGTGTCTGTTAGTGTTACTATCCTGAATATTTCTAATAAATAAATAAAAACAAAATTATTGTGAAATAGGTTGAAGCATTTACTGTTGCATATCGTGATGATATTGAACAAGATGAACATTCAAGTCGTAATAAATGGCGTATTGTTTCATCTCGAGTTATATTACCAATAAAAATTCGTGTATTACCAATAAATATCATTGATTCTTCATTATCATTAAATAATGAATCAATTATTAATATTAATTTATTAACAACAACAAAAGTTGGTTCAATATTAACACAACTTAAAATAAATAATCATAATTATACACAATGGTTTATTATGATAGGTCATATGGATTATACACGTTATTTTCATATAAATTTTCAATCTGGTGAACTTATTCTTATTCGTCCTATTAATGAATTAATGAATAAAACAACAATAATTGAATTACCGATTAATATAACTAATAATTGGATTCATATGAATACAATTAAAGTAAATTTTTCTATTTCATTTTTGTGAATCTTACATTATATTATTCAAAAGAACAATATAGTGTATATAGTAAACTAGATCAAAAAGTCGGAAATCCATACTGACACTGAACTAACAAATTGTCGTACTATTTCATATGTAGATAGTGATTTTATGACACATCCTCTATGAAATAATAGGAGCAAAAAAATAAATAAGAGACATCAGTGCCTTCTTAACTTATTGAGATACATAATAGTATGTTGAGATCTACTGTAGATTAATGGATATGTACAACAGGCTTATTTGCTAATCAAATCAATGATTAGGACAATAATAATGTTAAATTAAGTAATACGAAAATGAAAAGTAACGATTAAATAGCAACAAAACAAACTAAAAGTTTCATTCTAAATGCAGAAATGAATAACACAGATAAGTTTGCTAGAGATTTTTCATCTAAAATATGATAAGACACAAGAACATATGTAAGTTTCATATTTTAACTTCAAAATAGTTGCGCTAACCAGTTTTTTATTATTCATTTATTTATTATAGGTTATTATTCATATTATAAATGATAAACGTTCATTAATTTATTTTTCTCAAACAGATTATTATATTTCTATATTAAAAAATATTCCAATTGATACTAAAATAACACGTTTAACTATTGAAAATTCATTTGATAATTGTACATATAATATTCATTCAGTTGAAAGAATTCAATCAAAAGATTTATTTCATATTGATTCATATACAGGTTTAATAACTAATATTCAAACATTAGAAAAATCTATGAATAAAAAACATTTATTAATTATTATTTATTATTGTAAAAATATATCTCAAATAGCTTATACACGTTTACATATTAATATTCTTGATAAAGAACAATTAAAAAATCAAACAAACAATTCATATAGATTTACTCAAGATAATTATTTAGTTATATTTGAAACATCATTAATAAGTAATCAAAAAAAATATTTAATTGATTTGGAATTAATAAATAATAATCATTATGAAAAAAGAATCAAACCAGATGCTCAAATTATTGAAGGTAAAAATAAAAAATGATTCTATTCGACATTTATTATTAATTGTCTAACGAAGAAATCTCTCCAAGTGTTAATCGCAGATCGAGCTCATAAGTCAGACTCGATAAGAAAACCAGTAAAACGGTTGTAACTCCGGGCGGACAGCGTATGGGAACCAGAGATGTCCATCGCGGCTCAAAATCTGCCGCTGCCGCGCCGCTGCCGCGCCGCTCCCGCGACGCGATGGCCTGTTAAAAAAAGCTACCGCGCCGCTGCCGCGCTGGTATTCGAAAAAATGCTTTGATTTTCAAGGCTTTGGCTGGTTTGAAATAGAACTGATGCCGCTAATCGATCAGATTCGCTAAGTCTTACAGTATAGCATACATAAACATGCAGATTCTGTGCAAATTCATGAATTTTTGAAATTTTTTCCTAAAAACCTGCCGCCGCCGCGCCGCTGCCTCGACGGCAAAATAAAAATCTCTCCCGCGCCGCTGCCGCGCCGCGATAGTTTTTGAAAAAATCTGCCGCTGCTGCGCCGCCACCGCCACGGCAGCAGCGGCGCGATGGACATCTCTGATGGGAACGAATCCTTCCGAGTTTCTGCTAGTCTTATCAAGTTTGACTTATGAGCTCGATCTGCGATTAACACTTGGAAAGGTACCCTCGTAAGTGATCATCATGTTTTATTGTGATAGGATTTTGAGTTTCACATAAGTTAGTGCGAGGAATTCGAGTTTGTGATCAAAAAGGTCACTGAAATTGATGTAATCATTCAATTACTAATTTAATAATTAGAATGTTTTTTTGTTTTTATCAAATCCGTTATTTTTTTTTGTTAGGTGATCCATTAGGTTTATTTTCTATTGATTCATCAAATCAATCTTTACTTATTCTTGATGAATCTCGTTCTCGTTCATATATTTATCCAATTGAATTAATTATAATTGATACATCACAAATAAAACCTATCTATTGTATTGTAACTATATTTATATCAAATATTGGTATACAATTTACTTGTCCATTTAATCTAAATACTTCTCCATATCTTTTTACATATAAATCCATACCTACACATAGTATTGATCCATTAACTGGTCAACAATATGATTATTATGATTCTTTAATTATTTATGGATTTGATACATTTACAAGTTCAAATATTGCTAAATGTATTATTGATACTGAAATCAAATATTCTAATGAAATAAATGATTTCGTGTTTGAAAAAGAACTTTATTATGGTTATATTAATAGATCATTAGATTCTATATCATTTGTATATTACAATGATGAACCAATTTATTTATCAATAAAAAATCGAAATCAATATTTAAATTCATTTAATATAACTTATCAATTAATTAATCAAACAAATATAAATTTATTTGAATTAGATCAATATGCTGGAATAATAAAATATATTGAAAAAAATAATACATTTATTAAATATTCACTTCTTATTCTTGCTAGATATGAAACTTTTATGACATTTACACGTTTAAATATTTTTATAAATGATGATAAACAATTATTGTATAAATTTATATTATATAAACCATTTATTAATAATTATACAATTGGATATTTAAATGAAAGAAATTTAAATTTAAAAATTTTAAATAAAAAATTATCAACAATGTTTTCAATTGATAATAATAATGGACGATTATTTATTAAAAATCAAACATTAATTTTATTAAATGGAAATTTTTATAATTTTCTTATTGGAAAATTTCATATTCAAATAAATATATTATCAAAAGAAATAATTCAATGTTCATTAAATAGATTTTATTTACCAATAGATAATCAATTAATTGGTTTTATTGAAATTTTAAATACAAATAAAAATTATTTAAAAAAACGATCATTTTATCTTTTAAATTATAATCATTTATTTATACTCGAACGTGAACATGGTTATTTACGTTATCGTAATCAAAATCAATTAATTATGAATGATTTAATACTTTTAATTGAAATTGAACATTCACGTTGTTTGATTACAATGCGTGGATTTTCATCAATACCTTACATGATGATTAGACAAGGAAATAATTTACATATGGAAATTGAAAAATTAATGGATTATAAAAAGGTATAGAATATTATTGTTTGCAATCAATATATATGAAAGTTAATAAAGATTATTATGACATGTTATTAAAGTCAATCGGATTCAGAAATTCAGCGAACCGATGGGCTCTAATTATTGTACCTAAGGAGGAAAGCCTTTTACTGTCAAATCGCTTTTTCCCATCGAATGTAATCGGTTATAGATAATCAATTATGCTGATTCTAAATATCAATACAAGACCGTCAGCTAGGATGCTAGAGACCTGTTTTCTGAAAAGTCAAGTTTTGTTGAGAAACTTTTTTGATCTATTCAGAGTGTAGAGCACGTTAAATTGACTACAAAACATTAATTTTCCTTTTGGAAACTATTATTGAGGTCATCAGAAATAGAATTCTTTATTTTCGTCAAATTTTCAATCGGAAAAAAAAAATCTTCTCATATCAAGTTATTGAATTTCTCAAAAAAGAAACATTCTGATTATGTGAAAATTTTAGGGTATGTTCTATATAGATCATTGAAACTGTCCATGAGTAAAGTTTTACGTCGGAATTTTATTTTATGATTTTTTTGGGTATATACATCAAGTTGGGTCAAAAATTCAGTAAACTATCCATAGCTCGACTTCAAAGTGTTGGACATGAGTTCGGTCCTCTAGGAAAATTGATGTTTCGAATTTCTACTTAAACTTTTGAATTGAGACAACTCTTAACAAACATAGTTTATTGCTTAAGCTTCAGATCTTTTCGTCGTTCATATCCTAAGGTACAACTATGATAAAAGTATTTCTTTTACATCACTCTTATACACCGGTAGATTCCATACTCTTATTTCAGGATAGGGACAAAGCAAAAAGTCTAAATTTTTGACCATAAATTATTGTTGTTACGGTCTATCTCTGCACAAAGTTTCAAGTCGAAATTCAAAAATCAGTTTTCCTGAAGGAAGATCTTCGGGTGGAGTTAAAGAAACTGAAAAGTGCAATATCTTCACAGCAATAAGCTAAGGATCCGAACTCCTTTTAGAATACTCATAGTTTATTAGAATCTATATGATACACGTAATCGTACTCAATAGCAATTGAGTTATTTCACAGAGCTAAATATTCTCTTTTATCTCCTCTTAACAGTCTTCTGGTCAAATTCAACTTCGCAATGGTTTATTAATCAATTTTGATATTATTCCAAGTCAAGCTCCTATATTTTCTCAAAAATTCTATAAATTTTCACTTGATATTACTAATAATACAAATAAAAAAATATTTATCGGTCAAATAAATGCTCAACCATATAATATAAATCGAAGTTATCTTATCTATGAATTTATTTTATCAACAAAATATTTTATTATTAATCCAGATAATGGTATTATTGAATATATTTCAAATAAATATATAAATCAAACAATAATAGAACATAATCAAATTATTGTTCGTGATTTAATTTATCAACAAAATACAACAATTAATATAACAATTCATCTATATAAATCAGAATTAATCACCTTCACATCTCAAATTTATTATTTAACAATATCAGAAATTCTTCTACCTGGTTCCATAATATTTCAATCAAATATATCTAATATAGAAAATCTTCAATTTTCATTACAAGATTATAACATCGATCTTTTTACAATTGATTCAAATACTGGACAAGTAACTCTTGTTAATTATTTATCTAATCAATTTTATACATTTAAAATTCATGTATCTCCAATTAATAAAATATTTATTATTAAATTAACTATTCTTAATTATAATAATCATCGTCCATTATTTGTAAATCTTCCATTAAATCTAACAATATCATCTGATGATATATTTGTAACAAAATTATCTGCTTATGATCTTGATTTAGATGATAATGAAAATTTAAAATATTATCTTCTTGATAAAGATCAACAAAAATTTTTTTCAATTAATAATAAAACTGGAATAATTATACAAAAATTTTTTTCAAATCAAACATTTATTAAATTAAAAATTGGTGTTAGTGATGGTTTATATCTAACAATAAATTATCTATCAATAACTATTTATAATTATTGGAAACATAGTCCAAAATTTTCTTCAAATAATTATATATTTCAATATAATAATAAAATTCTTGGACAAATATCAGCATATGATTTAGATCATAATGATCGAATTATTTATAAACTTTATCTTGAACCAGATGGAATTTATATTGATACATATACAGGTTTAATTACAATTCATAAAGATTTATTTCCTCAAAAAATTGAATTTTTTGCATCAGCATCTGATTATGTACAACAAATAGTTTATACAAAAATTCAAATTCATTTTTTAATTCAACCAAAATTTACTTCAAATTTATATTTTATATCTTTAAATACATCATTAAATATTCCATCAGAAATATTTCATTTAAAACTTGTTGATTCAATAAATCAACCATTATCATTAACAAAATTTAAAATTGATCAAATAAATTTTTTTGAAATAAATCAAAATAAATTAATTTTAAAAAAACAATTAAATCCATTAAAAATTTATTATTTTAATATATATGGTTATTGGAAAAATTATACATGTCAAACATCAATACAAATAAATTATGTTAATCAAATATATAAATTAAATAAAAATTTTTATGAATTTTTAATTGAAAAAAATTTATTAAAAAATAATTATTTAATTAAAAAATTTCATATAAAAAAAAATTCTATTTTAATTATTACTTCAACACCATTAACAAGAAATAATTGTATAGAAAATTTTTATATTAAAGAAAATAAATTATTTTTTAAAAATTATCCTATTCTATCTGATTTATGTTTTTTTGAAATACAATTATCAAATGAAAAATCAATATCTTCAAGTCAAATTAAAATTTTATTTATTCATTTATATATTCAACCAAAATTTTCACCGAATATTTATTATTTTTATACAAATAATATTCGTGTTTTTGCAAAAAGTTTAAATATTATTCGATATAAATTACAAACAAATTCATATGGTTTATTTATTAATCAAACTAATGGTATTATATCATTTAATTATGATTTAGATAGAATGAAAAAATTTCATCATATTCAATTAGAAGTTTATGCTATTGATGAAAAAACATATTTAAATGATACAGCATTGATTCATATTGGATTTAATAAACAAAAATCATTTGATATACCAATGAAAATTCCATTATGTTCAAATACATCAATTTCAATTTCAGATCAAACTTCATCTGGTAACTTTATAGGCTCATAAATTTTGAAGAAATAATCTATAGGAAAGAGAAATTCTCATAAATGAAATATACAGTAGCTTCAAAAATTAATCGTATAATTTGATTTCTATTTTTGTTTGTAATAGTAATATTCTAAATAGTAGCTTGTATAGAGAAAATTGTTTGAGACAAGGATTTGAGGAAAATATAGTCTTTGAAAAATTACCTAAACCTAACTTTTTAGGACTTAGAGCTCGAAAGAAGTTTTCCTTGTTATTTCGCAGAGAAATAGGTTGATTGACTGTTTATAAAATGATACGTCTCCAAGATTTAAATGACATTTTTGGTGAAACCTATATTAATATTAAGAAGCGTCCAAAAGTAGTTTTTCCGTTGTTTCCTCAAGGAAAACTGGTCAAGATGGACTTCAGTTTATATGATTCAGTCAAAAAACTTTCTCAGAGAGCTCGGATATGTGTGATTTTGTAGAGAGTTGCTCGATTACCCTGTGTAGTCAACTGAAGTTTTTATTTTCATATTCCGAGTATTGAAAAACAACGTTTGAGATTTTATAAACATCTTAAATTTTGGGAATATTGTGTAGATTTTATTTTTTCGAAATCATTGTTAGAAACAATTGTCTATATTCAAATGATTGCTATTACGAGAAAAATCCTAATTAAATTTATATCATCAGTTTTTAGAGTCATTGTATGCCCAAGTCAAATAATAATTTCCAGAGCTTTTCAGAATCGTAAAAATTTCACTCCATTGCTGATTTCGGAGAGAGAAAGAGGTTCATGTATTAGAACGAAGTGTTATTTATATACATTCTGTAATCTTATATAAACAATGTCTGTAACATTTGTGAAGGCTCTACATAAGAGGGCGGTCAGATAATTTTTTCGTCCTACTCTATGTCCCTAACTGAGAACAATCTTCTTACTCTATCTTGTCCGATAAAAGTAGCGGTTTTTGGATGTGAGTGTTGTCATAATCTTTATCTCCACTCGATGAAACCTCCATTCACACCAACCCATAGAACGATGAAACTTTGATATATCACAATTTTTTATGTATTTTCTCAGGTACAATCATTCAAAATATCGATCTGAAGAATAACAATTCAAATCATTATTATATTCTATCCGGAGATAAATATAATTTGTTTGCTATAAATAATTTCGGTCAAATCTATTTAAACTCATCAATGCTTAATAGAACATCTGAAGAATATTTTGATTTAGTTATTCTGATATCATCTCTATCAATATCTTATTGTCATACTAATATATCAATAATTCGATCACCGAATTGGTCTTATTTTATTTGTCCTGTAGTGAGTAAAATTTTGATGTTTTTGTTTTAATAAAAATCTAAATATTTATTTTAGATGCCAATAGAATGGATGATTGAAGAAGAATCTCCTATTGGTACAAAAATAGGTAATATTAAAGAAATATTATTCATGATAAATAATAATTCTCAATTAATTGAAAAAATTCAAATGAAATTAAATAATAATATTGATACACAAACATTTCATTTAAATTCTTCAACAGGTATATTAATATCTAAATTTCGTCTTGATTATGAACAAAAACATATTTATTCATTTTCAATTATACTTGAACCTAATGAAATTCATTGTTCATTGATAATATTAATTAAATTAATAAATATTAATGATAATTTAATAGAATTTGATCAAAAATCATTAATATATAATATTAATGAAAATAATCTTATACCATTATATATTGGTCGTATAAAAATAATTGATCATGATCAATTATTTTCATTTAATTATAAATATTATCTTAAAAATATTTCATCACAAATTTCAATTGATTTAACAACTGGTTCAATTATTTTATTTGATAAATTTGATCGAGAAATTCATGGTGAAAAATTACAATATGAAATTATTTTATTAGATTATATTAATCAAAAAAATTTAACAAATAATTTAATAATTAATATTAATGATTTAAATGATCATGGACCAATATTTGAAAAAGATTTTTATCATATAAATATAAATAAATCTAGTCAACCTGGAAAATTTATATTTCAAATAAATGCAACAAGTTATGATCCAATAATGAATGGAAATATAAGTTATTATTTAAGAAATTCTTCATCTAGTTTTTCAATTAATAAATATACAGGAAATATTTATTTAAATGAATATATTTCAACAATAGTAGAAAATTTTACATTAATTATTGAAGCTATTGAAGATGGTATTAATTTAACTGATCGAACAAATATTTTTATATCGATTATAAATGATGATTATATTTATTTTCAATTAGATAATCAATATCAATGTTATCTTGATGAAAATGAACCAAGTGGTACAATAATTTGTACAATAGGAAAAAATTCAATTGATTTTATTTATTATTTATATGATCCAATGAATTTATTTGATATTTTATCAAATAATGCAACAATTATTAATCGAAAAATATTTGATTATGAAATAGATAAACATGAATATAACGTGACAATTATTGTACAAGATCGAAAGAATCAGGTACGAAAGAAAGTCTTAAAGAAATATTGAGCATGAACGCGGATGTACCAGTTTCAGAGTTACCGGGCTATCTGTTTATCAGTCATAGACTGACAAGTGAACAAAAGGATGCATAGCGGAACTAAATAATAATCAATTTCTCTTAGAATAATGATTAGTAGAAGAATAATAAATGTGTACTAAGAGAGAACTAGAACTGCTATATATTAATCAATTTTCACTACAACATAAAAACAAAATTTATTAATGTATTTTTCTGAAATCTAAATAAGTTTTTCTATCAGTCTTTGTAATGATTCGTCCTACTTTGGTCGAAAGTAACAATGTTAAAAACTGAAGTTAACACTTCTGAACATGAGAAAATTAAAAGAAAGCAAACAGCTTAATTCCAAACAAATGTTTATTATTTAAAAAGAAAGAATGACATACAACAAAAAGGTTTTAAATAGCGATTAATTGACATTAAATATTTTTCCTTTTGAAGGTGTGAGTGTGGGCACGGGTGTGGAAGTAAATGAACGATTCAGAGCCACCACATCAACATCCACAACTAGCTGAGCCGCCGCCGCAACGAAATCGTAGATAATTTTATGAACTTTTTAGGCGCTGTCGCTGAGAAAAACTTAGTTCAGCCGCTGCGCCGCCGGCACGAACGAAATTTTTTGATAATGATATGAGGCGTCGCCGCCATTGACATCGATACATATGCGATCGGTCATTTTTTCGTCTTTTAGCAACAAAAACGTTTTTTTTTTGTTTGTCAAAGCCGCCGTTGATGCAGCAAAACATAAAGTATAGCAGCCGTCGCTATGGAAAAAAAATTTGACCATTCAAACCGCCGCCGCCGCTATTTGATCCTTCGGCTTACACCTCTATCCACAACCTCATGCCCTCACCCGTACCAGGCTAACAAATTTAGCTTGATAGGTCCGTTTTTAATCTTATCTTCTACCAGAGATGTCCATCGCGGCTGAAAATCTGCCGCTGCCGCGCCGCGGCCTTAGAAAAAAAAGCTGCCACACCGCAGCCGCGCCGCGGCCTTAGAAAAAAAAGCTGCCACACCGCAGCCGCGCCGCGACGGTTTATAAAAAAAAATGTTGCCGCGGCGCTGCCGCGATGAATTATAAAATAAACGTGCCGCCGCCGCGGCGGTTTACAAAAAAGTGTTTCTAATTTCACTGCTGCGACTATATTTGACCAGAGATATTGGTACTAGTCCATCAGATTCATTCAGTCTCGGGGTGTTTCATTTGTAAACCCTGAAATTCTATTAAATTCATGTAGTTTTTCAATGTTCCCCAAAAAAATCCTGCCGCTGCCGCGATGGTCTTTTAAAAAACCTGCCGCTACCGCGGTGATTTTTTAAAAAACCTGCCGCTGCCGCTGCCGCCACAGGCCATCGCGGCAGCGGCGCGGCAGCGCCGCGATGGACATCTCTGTCTTCTACCGACCATTAAGATACATGTCTAGATATGATTTGAATATTTTTAGTCAAGTTACAAGTATAATTCGACGTAGATTTCATAATAGACAAAAAAAAAGTCATGCTATCTCTTAAGAATAAAAAATTTTCTATTTAGTCTATTTTATTATCTTCTATAAATGTTACTATATATATTCGTAATTTAAATGATAATCCTCCAGAATTTTTAACAAAAAATTTTACAAAACTTTTATATTTTTATTATCCATTGATAAATACAATACTTTATAAAATTGAATTTATTGATAAAGATCAATCAAATTTAACTTATGAAATTATTAATGATATTTTTACAAGTTATACACTTCATACATATAAAAATATTATTGAACTTATTCTTATTAAATCTATTATTCATAATCATGAAGATAATTTAATTATTCGTATATGGGATGATAAAAAAATTTTTTCAGATTTAAATCTTAATATAAATTATTTTCAATATAATATTGAATATCCAAAAATTTTATTACAAAAAATTGATGGTTATATAAATTTTGAAGAAAATTTTTTTACAATTAATCTTGGTCAATTATTTATTGAAAATCATTCAAAATATCAATTTATTTATTTTAATTTAATATCAAATAAAAATTTTTTTCTAAAACAATTAACAAATAATCAAACTGAACTTTATTATAAATCTTTTCATCAAATATCATCTATTGAATATCAAATTTATTTAATTTCTTTAGCTATAAAAGAATTTATACCTGAAATTATTTTTCATAATAATAATAATAATACAAAAATTTTTTTTCCATCAATAGAAAAATTACAAACAATTAATATTCATTTTTTACCTATCTATCGTGAAATGTTAAATCAAACAATATCATTAATAATAAATATAAATTCTAATATAACATATGAACAATTTATTAATGATAATTTACCAATAATACGACAAAATTTAGCTCAAATTATTAATGTACATATAAATCATGTTCATATTTATACATATGAATTAAAACAAAAACAAATTGAATTATTAATTGCTATATTAGATTCAACAATGAATAATTATATAAATAAAGAAATTCTTTATAATAAATTAAAAAATTCAAAAAATCTTTTTGATAAAATTCTTTTTAATCAATGTCAATTAAATTCATGTGAAAATAATGGTTATTGTACTAGTTATATTAGTTTATTATATAATCAATATGAATATATTTATTATAATACATATCAACGTTTAATACCAAAATATCAATGGAATATAAAATGTTTATGTAAAAATAATTATTATGGAGAACGTTGTCAATTTAAATATACTAAAAAATCACCATGTTCATCAAATCCTTGTTTATCAATAGAAAAATGTATTGAAGAAAATTCAACAACATATTCATGTCAATGTATAGATGAATTATGTAATTATAATAATATTCTTAAGAATAATTCATTTCAATGTATTAATATCAATTCACCAACATGTCGAAGTGAGTTTTATTTGATGAATCTTTATCTGAATTACAATATTCCTATTGATAATAATTTCATATATATATATATTAATAGTAGCAGCCAATTAATAGATATATCATTTTGATTGAATATCAATTCGATAGGCGATTTGTCAAACAAGTCATCTATCCTTCTCGATATTAGTCCGATTTCATACTAGTTCGACAGAATACTAATTCCTTGGGATTGGCACATATCTACCTCAAAGATTTTCAACCAATTGAAAATCATCTATTCGTAATTATTGTACAAGAATTTTACTTTTATACATTTTGAAGTTCACGCCCATGAATACACTAAACAAAGAAAGTTTCAAGGCATACTTCAATGAACCTTGATTTTTTAAAACTTTTTATTCATGGTCAAGTTCAAGATCTTTCTGTTCGAGAACGAAAAGTCATAGTCGTATGTTTCAGTGCCTAAGTTTTATCGCAGAAAGCAGAAATGTCCATCACGACTGAGAATCTGCCACTGCCGCTGCCATTGTGGCAGCGCGGTAGGACCACCGTGGATCAGAGTTGGAACCGATCCGGTCGGACCGGACAAGAAGTTAAACCGGGCCGGACAGGACCGGATTTTTGCCAGTTCATCATTACAAAATTGGTTTTTGCATCCAAGAATTTTCTCTACTGAAAACGGTTTTTTTATGATGTTTTCAATTCAGAAGAATGAGTTTGCGAAAAACTCGATAGATATCTTATCGTCTATTTGAATATAAACGATTGATTGTTCTCTTTATATCTCTATCGTTTTCTTTCTTGTGTATCGCTCAGTTGATCAAATAATTTATTCTCTTGTTCTATTCAGGCAGCTGCCTGAATCAAGAAAAATAAATATTTACATTTTTGTGTTAGATTTTTGTTATAAATTTGTTTTTTTTTTCATTTTTGAAATTAAGATGAAAAACAGATTTGATCTGAATAACTAATTTATATCGATGTCGGCCTCGAAAAATCGACGCACCTTGCTGTAAAATATGAAAGGAGAGTTTAGTTTCCAGTTCGAATTAGGGATGACGATTTGCTATTAATTTATTATAATTTTAAATTGGATCTACATAAATTTAAATTTTGTAAAATTTTTAAATTCAAAATAAATAAAACTTTTTAAAATTTATTTTTGGGTTTATAAATTTTCCGTAAATGTAAATTGATCAATTCCTAGTTCAGATTTCTGCATGTGAATATTCAATACATCTCCGCCAACATTTTATTTGAACAGATACTTTTATGGTCGTTTATTTTCGCCGGATTTTTGCCAGATTGACTGTAAAATTCATCCGGCCGGTTGCTGGTCGGACAGGACAGATTTTTTTACCGGCCGGATCAGACCGGACAGAAAATAACGATTGTCATTTCTCAATGATTTAAAATATTGGCAAGAATCAACAAGGTTGACTTAAGTTTAGCCATAATAATATCATTTATTTTTGTCAGATGAAAAGCAAGTGAGTTTTATAACATTTCAATAAAAGAATATAGAAAAGTTTAACCATCATATAAAATTCTACGGATAGACTCTACTGACTTAGTTTGTGATCGGTTTGAATATTATTAATTTATTTAGATTCATCAAATACATTAACTTTTAATGGTAATAGTTTAATTCAAATGAATATAACTATGAATATAACACAACAAATGAAAATAACATTAAGTTTTCGTACATATTCAAATAAAAGTCAATTATTTAAATTAATTTATTTTAATGAAAAAACTAAAATATTTCATTCAATAATTTTAAAAATTATTAATGGTTATATTAATATTGAATTTGATGAAAAAATTCTCTTAGAATTAAATCAAACATTAATTAATGATGGTTTATGGCATGATATTTATTTTTCAATAGATTATATTCATAAATATTATCTTATTCGACTTGATCATATATTTAGTACTAAAATAATATTATTACAACAAATTTATTCAAATAATCTTAAACAATTAATAATTGGTATTGATTTTAAAGGTTGTTTAGGTAATTTAACATTAAATAATCAAATAATATTTTATCAACAACAAAAAAATAATAATAATTTAATTGAATTTATTAATATAAATAATAATTGTCTATCATTTGAAATTATTCAAGAAAATTTTCATACGAATGATTTTTGTTCATTATATCATCCATGTTATCATGGTGGAATATGTATAAATTATGGATTAAATTTTAAATGTAATTGTTCAAAACCACGTTTTACTGGTCGTCAATGTCAATTAGATTTATATCCTTGTGAAAGTTATCCATGTCAATATGATGAAAAATGTATACCATTATTATCAAATTCAAATAAATCATTTAAATGTGTTGCTATATCAGTTATTTCTTTATCAATATCAATAAAAAGATATGTACTTATTGGATTAATTATTACATTGATTATATGTATTTTATTAATATTAATTATTTATTATTATAAAAAACAAAAAGAAAATTTTATTAATGATAAACCATTAGTTTCAGCACCATTACTTATACATAAACAATCATCAATAACAAATCATATTGAAAGTTCAAGACAAAGATTACTTAAATTAAATTATAATGAAACACAAACTAATGAAACTATAACATTTGGAGAGAATAATCATAGAAATCCGATAATAAATTATTTAAATAATAGAGTAAGATTAAAGATTATTATTGAAAAATCTAAAACTAAATATACTTTAAAATTGAAGAAAAGCAACTGGACTAAATCTACCCAAACAGTTCTCTCTCTCTATATATATATGATATTTGAATTTAGAATTATAATCTTTCTATCTTTTCGAATAATTTTACCGGCATACGGTGTTATCTATAGCTTAATATTTTTCTTACGAGGGAACCATCCGAGGTGTCAAAAAGCTTTTGAGCACAAGTAGGGGATGCATAGACTAGAAAAAGCCTAAAAGGATATGGGCCCAAGTTGGGATTTGACTGAGATATCGACTATTTACCATAATTTTCCTATAGGATCCTACTTGTCCGATAAAATCAAAGTTTTGAATTTAGGTCTGAAACTTTGTCCGCACCAAGGTCCCAATCAGACAAGCTCGCCTACAAAGTTTCAGAACTCTTGGATAGACTATCCCCAAGATATGAATCTGCCAAAATATCTATGTGAAACATTATATCCATAAAAAAGCGTCTTTATGCTAACATACTAGTATCTCGGAGATAGTCTATCCCAGAGTTCTGAAACTTTGTAGGCAAGCTTGTCTGATTGGGGCCTTGGTGTGGACAAAGTTTGAGGCCTAAATTCAAAACTTTGATTCTATCAGACAAGTAGGATCCTATAGGAAAATTATAGTAAATAGTCGATATCTCAGTCAAAGCCCAACTTGGGCCCATATCCTTTTAGGCCTTTTCTAGTCTATGCATCCCCTACTTGTAGGCAAAATTTCAGCTCAAAAGCTTTTTGACGCCTCGGGTGGTTCCCTCGTAAGATCATATGTATTTCATAACCATTAAGCTCATAGAAGTTCATACTAAACAAATTGATATGAATTTTATCTTATTAAATGCGTTTTGACTAAAATTAGATTACAAAATTTCTGATTTTATTTCATTTTTAATAGAATAATCATCAAGCATACAAATCGTTAAATCGTTGTTTAGTAAGTTAAATAAAATAAAATAAAATATAAACATATTTTTATATAGAATGATTCAAAATATTATTTAACTAAAACGACTATTCCATCAGATGATTTTATTGTTCATGATAATTCACCTAATTATGGTTAGTTATTATTGATTATGATTGACTCTATTTATATATATATATTATTTCTTTTTTAGATAACACATATATTTCACCAAAAACAGAATTATTTGATTGTAAGTTGTTTTATTAAATTATTAATATATTATATTTAGATTTTTTTCTTAAATATTTTAGTTTCATTATCACCAACACGTAAGTTTTAGTTTTATTTTTTTGATGTATTAATAAAATTTTCCTATATCCAAACAGAATATTTTAATATTCATAAATCAGATAATGAAATAAATTATCAAATTCGTTTGAATTCTTTATCTGATTTAACAGAAAATGAACTTAATTTAACTGAATCATCAAATACATCATCTAATAATGATCAAATTCTATTAACATTTTCAATAACAAATCAAAATCATAAATATTTACGTACTGTTAATCATAACAATATATCTAGATCAGTAACATCATTACCAAAACTACCTATCTATGCAAGAATTGTTAAAAGTAAGTATAAATTATTGAACAAAAAAAATTCATCATTGAAAAATTCTATTCTCATAGCACCTAAAATGATAAATATGTCTGTCAATAATATTGATTGTAATCGATTAAGTAGTTCATTGACTTCAACTGCAACATCTCTTCTACAATCAACCGAAAACGATAATATTGGAACAAATAAATCGAAAATGAAAACAAAAACTATAAATCGTTTAAGACAAACAAGTGACTCAGATATTGAAAATCATAGAAAAAAATCGAATACATTAGCTTCTTTCTTTCAAACTGATGTATAATCTAGAAAACAAAAAAGAACATAGTTTCTTGTTTTTTTTTTCTATCTCATTTTCGTCCGGTGATATTCTCTTGATATTCAACATGAATTATTAAACAAATAAATTCATTAATTAGTATTTTTCACTTTTATTATTTTTCTTTTTTGTTCTGAATACAATTAAAACAATATAGTGTACTGCAACCGAGTTCGACATCCAATATCCGGAACATGGATTTGAATTAAATATTGACAAGATGGCCACGATCTCGGCAGGACCAAGATCACAACCATCACTTGTGTGAAAGTCACAGATATTTTCAAGGAAAATATAGAGAGTGAAATTTCAAAACAATGTTTTTTTTGCCATTTCTCCCTATACCCTAGCAACCAGCAGCTGAAAAGATAATTAAGATCACTTAAATCATCATATAATTAAGCTGCTTCGACGGATATCCAATCGTTATTTCGACTCAGCATCCAACTTTTGTATTGGAATGATTAATGAGGAACTATATTCGTCAAGACTAGATATACCCATCGATTTGTGAAGGACTATAGATAATAGTAAAATATTTTTTAAAAGACCATTGATATTATTTAGGTTCGACAACTTTCACGTTGTCTTGAATATATTGAATCGTTTGATCTTTGACTTTAAACTTTCTTTCTATCAATTTCATAATGGCTTGGATATGTCGAGTTTTGCATTTGTTTACCTCTAGTTTTTCGTTCAACATGTTTTTATTTTCTAAAAAAACATCTGCATGTCAAGTGGATTTTGAAAATGAGGTGAAGTTGATTGGAAAAAAAGGTTGTGGAACTTGAAACAGTAGATAATTAACAAACCGATATCATTTTGCTCCGTTTAAACAATAAACTTCAACATAAAGAATATATTTATGTACTTCAAAATAGTTATAATATTTGAGTTTAGTACACTTTTGGCCACTATTTATAACTTTCAATTACAATAATATGAAGATATTGAATTCAACTTGATCTTACAGATGTCTTCAGCTATGCTTAACTTAGAGTGAGACATAATAACATAGGATAAAATTCGAATCATGAAAATACTTGAAATGTATGGTAATATATTCTTTTTATTATAATAAGTAATCTGTTGGTTTCCTGTTAATCATAATTGCTTTTTTGCTTTTACATCCAATTGAACTATTTTCATAGAAAATTTATCACAAAAAATTTCACTCAAAATAGATAAATTAAATCTATAAACAAATCATTTAAATATACATACTTTTTATATAACAAAAAGTATAAATACGGAATTAATTAAAAGTATTATATACAAAAATAACGTTAAGTAACCTTCAATTCTATTCTTCAAATAAACAAAATATATATTTTTTTCTTATCGGTCAAAAACATGTAAAAAAAAAAAAAAAAAATTAAAAAAAAACTTTTTTCTTATCTCAAACTGAGAAGTGGTACAAAATGATTAGGCATCCAATCTTCTTTCTTATTCGCAATCTTCAACTGTTTGTTACAATTTGTAAAAAGAATTTTTACATGATTGACTCCTGTTAGCGTTGTTATTTTTGATTTTGTATCATATGTTGCATGTTTATTTATTAATGGACTAAAAAGTTTACCATTAAGTAGTTGATAATGTATATCTTCATCACCATTAACTTTAGGATAAACACTTATAACATCAATATTAAGTACAGTTGATATACTTAAAAGATCCCAAATAGATGCAAAATGTGTATCATGTACCATTTCTTTTCGAACATAATCTTCAAAACTATCAAGAATCATTTCTAATGATGCATATTTATTTATGTATTCATTCAAACGAAGAACAAGTTCAACCACATTGCGAGCTCGAAGTTCAACAGAGGTTACTGCTGATGCTTCAGTTGTTGCACCAGCACCACTTAACTTAAGAAATGTATTATAGAAACAATTTCCATCACCAACAACAGCTACTGGCATCGAATTACGAAATTGTTTATCACAATGATTTTGTACATAATATTCAGCGGCAACATCACGTTTATGAATACTTTGATCAAATTTTTGTATTGGTGCATATACTAGTGGATAATAATTTAATATTGGTTTTAACAATTTACATGCCTTTTTAAGTTCATGAAGTGAAGTTTCAGCAGCAATACATAGTCGTTGTAAAAATCTATCGAATATCATCGAACGTGTTAACTCTGAACATTTAATACATAAATGTTCACGATCAGCTGGTAATTGTTGTTCATCACAAAGAATACAATCACGAATCGAATCAAATGATGATCGTGATGCTATTCGAAATCGACTTCTTTCATCAATAGTTGTTCTTGTAGTAGTAGCTGCTTGATTGATTTTTTGTGCATAGTCAGTCCATTCTTTAACAAAAGCATCATAGATTGGACGTTCATATAATACAAATCGAACATCTTTAACATTACATGAATACTGTCTCACTGATTCAATAGCAACTTGTGCTGCTTCTTGTGGAGGAAAACGATTCGCTCCACATGATATAGCAGGATAAGCAATGGATGTTAATGAATATAGATTAGCTAACTGTAATGATGTTGAATAACATGATTGTAAAAGAAAAGCACTTTTTTCTTTTTCTTCAGTTTGATAAACTGGACCGACAGTGTTTATAACAAAAAGAGCCACATTTGGATTTTGAGTATTTTTTGCAACAAATATTCTTGATTGTCCAACAGGACATGCATTTTCTTTCATCTCTTGGCTAACTGCACTTACTTGATCATCAAAAAGTTTTCCCATAGCCTTATGCATTATTTCATCCAATCCACCACTAGGATACATTGACACTCTTGTTGGATTAACAATGGCATCACATATTTCTTTACTTATATCACCTAGTCGAATAGTTACTTCCAATGAACCATTAGAAAATTTAAAGAGAATACTTCTGTCATCAAGATTTCTGATATTACTAAATCGAAAAAATAAAATAACATTTGAATTTGTCAGAAGTTACACTTACATTGCAGACATCGTCTTCTATAAATTGTTGTGTAGACGAAAAAACAAAATATTTTTTGCAAAAGCCGATGAATTTACTTTCTAATTTGTTTTTATTATTGAGTGCAGACTTTCATGTGTAATTTTCTTTCATAACAATATTTGATGTCATACGTGAAAAAAAAAACTTACTTTTTTTTTTTCTTTCTTACTGTCCTCAATGATGAGATATCAATCGACACGTGCATTACGCTATTGGTCTTATTGGGTATCTAATACATAGGAAATGGTTGTCATAGTCAAAATAAAAGAACATAAATAATGTCGTGCATTTCACCTTTATTATTTATATTGTTGGTTTTTTCCTGATCAGAAATAAAAAACCAACAAGTGTAATCATCATTAATTTTAATAGAATATCGCTATTGATTCCTGTCGATAAGAATGAAATTCAAATTTCATATCAATATGATAAATTCCTGTGAGAGTACAATATGTATCTGTTACAAATGACCGAAATTAAGAACGATAATTAATAATATTTTGAAGATGTGCAAAAAAACAAAAATCATAATTGAAAAACAAGTTACATACTAGTCAAAACATAATTAACTAATAATTATTCTCTGAAATATATTATTTTCGAAGAATACTCATAACTTTTGATAGAAAAGTGATTGAGACCTGTAATTTTCCTTGTTGAGTAGAGAACAACAAGACACACATCCTATGGAAAAGAAATTTTCTCAATAATCATGAATTAATATATTATTCGATCGATTATTTCTCATTGAACTACAAATCGATTATAATGAAAAGTTTAATTTTTAATCTTTTAATTCGTAATTATTGAGGGATCTGCTTTTTTTTTACATTAGAATATGACCTACTGTTCTCTAATCAACAACCAAAACCTTAGGTCTCTATCATTTTTCTTTCGGAAATTATCAACATTCTTTTCAACCGATTTATTTTAAAAAATGACTTTTGGTGAACAGTTAACTATACGTTTCAAGAGGATTATTTATAAAAAAAGATCCTGCTATATTAATAAAGTAAGTAAATAGTAAAGAAATCATGGCAGTCAATACATGACCAAATAATATGCTAAATAATATTTTGTAATAATCTAGTACAAAAAATTAATTAAATTTGATTATTAAGAATGATTCAGTGAAGCACAAATTTACGTCATAAATTTTTCAATAGATAACCTATGAGGAATGTTAAATAAGAGAGAAAAAATGTAATTTTGTTTCTAATTTACAGCGCAATATTTTAATACAGTTGGACTGAACTATTCTTCGAAATATTAATAATGATTATTTATTGATCAAATGTGCTAAGGAATTCAAAGAGTATTTTGTTTCTTCTTTTTCTATTCAGAAAATCTATTCTATTTAAAAGAAAGAAAAACGTTAACGTTGTTGAAAAATATTTGTTTAGTAGTCGAATTGTACAGAAATTTTTTTAACTTGCTCAATAGTTCAGGTTCATATATTGATAAAAATACGAAGTCAATAAGCCAAAATTATAACAATTATTAAACTTGATAGTGACACTCTGAAATTTCATCATTTGGAAAATGTTTGTATTTCAAATTAATATTTGAGTAATTCACTAGATCGTCTTACTGAAAATACTTATTTAAATGGTCAGATACATCTTCGATGGATAAATTCTTTTCATCTAATAATAATATATATATGAGAATCATGCCATATGAAGCAAAAAATATCATTTTATTATTCATATTGTCGATTCAATCGCCGTATTAGCCAGTTATACACATTGATTTAACCATTCGGTAAGCTTCCGTGCGCATCATTCTTTTTTCTCTAAGAATTTAAATATTTAATGTTGAGCTTTGATTAATAGTACTTCAATAAGTTCACATAATTTGTTATGTCCATCCTTTTCTGAATTTGCTAGAATAATAATATTACCACCTAACTTATGACCATCTATAATACGATCCTTTCGCTACATAAGATATTAAGACTTAGAATATTCAGAACAGTAAGACTCCAAAGTAGAAATCTTTTGGAAGATTCTATAGTTCAAGAATGATCTACGTTCTCTTATCATGGACGAGTCTTCTTCGTTACTAGGAAAACATATAAAATGCTCGTTGGTTTCTCTTCTCGTCCCGCCCGTTGATACAAAGGTCTATCGAACCACCATTAACTCTCTCTTCTTAAGATTTGGAAGAACCGCAAAAACTTCTATTTAAACTTACACTTACTATATTTTCTTCGAAAAATACATGTGCATTTCACGAAAAGTTTGAAATATATAGCAACATATTTATTTTATATAATGAACCTATTTATTTTTGATTGATCAAAATTATTTCTGACTTTCATATCCTATTGAACTATTTTCATAGAAAATTTCGTACAATAACCGTTACTAATAAAGAATAAAATATCAATCAATCGAACGTTTATAAATAAAATTGCAAACAACTAATTGAAATAGATTTCGTTTTTAAATCACAAAAAGTATGACTTCAGAATTAATCAAGACATTTAAAACAGAAATAAAGTTAAGAATATTTAATTCTATTCTTGAAGTACACATTACATTTTTCTTATCTCAAACTAAGAAGTGGTACAAAATGATTAGGCATCCAATCTTGTTTCTTATTCCCAATCTTCAACAATTTGTTGAAATTTGAAAAAAGAAGTTTTACATCGCTGACTGCTGTTAGCTTTGTTATTTTTGATTGTTTATCATTTATTGTCTGTTTACTTATTAATGGACTAAAACGTTTACCATTAAGTGTTTCGTAATTTATATCCTCATCACCATTAACTTTAGGATAAACACTTATAACATCAATATCAAGTACAGTTGGTATACTTAAAAGATCCCAAATAGATGTAAAATGTGTATCATGTACCATTTCTTTTCGAACATAATCTTCAAAACTATCAAGAATCATTTCCAAGGATTCATATTTAGTTGTATACTCATTTTTATGAAGAACAAGTTCAACTACATTTCGAGCTCGTAGTTCAACTGGTGTCACTGCTGATGCTTCAGTTGTTGCACCAGCACCACTTAACTTAAGAAATGTATTATAGAAACAATTTCCATCACCAACAATAGCTACTGGCATCGAATTACGAAATTGTTTATCACAATGATTTTGTACAAAATATTCAGCGGCAGCATCAGGTTTATGAATACTTTGATCAAATCTTTGTATTGGTGTATATATAAGTGGATAATAATCTAATATTGGTTTTAACAATTTACATGCTTTTTCAAGTTCATGAAGTGAAGTTTCAGCAGCAATACATAGTCGTTGTAAAAATCTATCGAATATCATCGAACGTGTTAACTCTGAACATTTAATACATAAATGTTTACGATCAGCTGGTAATTGTTGTTCATTACAAAGAATACAATCACGAATCGAATCAAATGATGATCGTGATGCTATTCGAAATCGATTTCTATCATCAATAGTTGTTGTTGTGGTAGTAGTAGTAGCTGCTTGATTGATTTTTTCTGCATAGTCAGTCCATTCTTTAACAAAAGCATCATAGATTGGCCGTTCATATAATACAAATCGAACATCGTTAACATTACATGAATACTGTCTCACTGATTCAATAGCAACCTGTGCTGCTTCTTGTGAAGGAAAATGATTTGCTCCACATGATATAGCAGGATAAGCAATGGATGTTAATGAATATAGATTAGATAACTGTAATGATGTTGAATAACATGATTGTAAAAGAAAAGCAGCTTTTTCTTTTTCTTCAAGATGATAAACTGGACCAACAGTATTTATAACAAAACGAGCCACATTTGGATTTTGACGAGTTTTTGCAACAAATATTCTTGATTGTCCAACAGGGCATGCATTTTCTTGCATCTCTTGGCTAACTGCATTTACTTGATCAGCAAAAAGTTTACCCATCACGTTATGCATTATTGTATCCAATCCACCATTAGGATGCATTGACACTCTTGTTGGATTAACAATAGCATCACATATTTCTTTACTTATATCACCTTGTCGAATGGTTACTTTCAATGAACCATTAGAAAATTTAAAAACGATGTTTTTATTATCAATTTGCTCGATATTACTAAATGGACAAGATAAAATAACATTTGAATTTGTCAGAAGTTACACTTACATTGCAGACATTGGTTTCTATAAATTGTCTCGTGCAAAAACACAAAATACTTCTTACGCTAAGTGATGGATTTACTTGCTAGTTTGTTGTTATGATTGAGGGCACACTTTTGTTTGTAATTGCTTTTTTTTCTGTGATGTTGTGCGATGTAATACCTGAAAAAAAGTATGTTTTCTTTTTCTTTTCTTTGTGTCCTCAATGATGATTGAAATCCACACGTGCGTTACTCTATGTGTCTTGTCGAGTCTTTAACTCATAGGAAACGACTGTTGACGTCAAAATAAAAGAACATTAAAAAAAAATGTCGAGTATTGCACTTTTATTATTTTTATTATTGGTTTTTTCCTTTTTGGAAATAAAAAACAACGACAAGTACAATCACAATGAACTTTAACAGAGTGTCACTATTGATTCGTGTCTATAAGAATGAAATTCACACTCTATATCAATGCGATAAATTCCTATGAGAATACAACAAAGAAATATACAACATGTGCCTGTTAAAAATGACCAAAATGAAGAACCATAATTAATCATATTTTGAAGATGTTCAAAACCAAAAAATAATGCTAATATAATCAATGTTAATACATCTTTTGAAAAAGAAAACAGAAGAAATAAATTTTTTCAATATGAGAAAAATCATAAATTAAAAGCAATTTACATACTAGTAAGAATATTAGTAATTAGTAAACAATTAACTATTATACGTTTCGAACGATATATTTTATAAAAAGATCTTTCTGTATTAATAAATTGAGTCAGAAGTAAAGAAACGATAGCCATGACTATAGAACTACATGATATAGTAATTATTACTTTGTGATAATCTATTATAAAACAAAAAAAAACAAGGAAAATTTCATAATGATACATGTATATTTGAATCTTTCATGCAGATAACTTATAGAGAAACAAAAACTTAAGTTGTGAATTTTTGGATTTATGATCGATGTAATGTAATTTTATTTCTAATTAAATTAGATATAAAATAACGTAACATTTTACTATACAGTATTGATTGAACTGTTCTTTTCAATATTAATACTGGTCACTTCTTTTTTTTTTTTTTTTACAAAACATACTAAAGAATTTAAAGACTATTTAGTTATCTGTACTTTCGATTACATATCATTTCTTTTTCTTTTTAATACAATCTGTTCTGTTTAAAAGAAAGAAAATCGTAAACATTATTGAAGAATATTTAGTTTTTTAATGGTTATCTATGTATTGTTAACTTACTCAATAGTTCCGGTCCACTTATTGATGAATTATACCATTTATATAAACGATTAAAACATATATAAATATTGTTGTATATATAATTATTACTATTTGTCAGATTGTTCATAATTGAATATTGATCTACATTGTAGGAACGATAAAATCGATGACAAATTATAAGAATTCCTTTTGAATATTCATTGATAGTACCAGTTGTATTCTCATTGAGATAAATAAGCCATCTTGGTGTACTTATACCAAATATGAGAAGCGAAATTGAAATAATTAATAGTACAAAATGAAATAATAATATACGACTCATGATTTAAAGAATATATGCTATTAGTCTGCAATATCTGTCCGATCGTTGTTAAGAAATGATTAGTAAAGAAATAAACACGTTTATGATAAGAATAGACAAAAAGTCTAAGTGTGCAGACAACAACACATGAACGTTATACTTAGATGAAGTATATGTAATTCAAAACTTTTTTTTTTTGTTCCTCTGTCGATGTGTAGATAAAGACATTCATATCATTACAAAAATAAGTTCCTTTCTTATTCTTTCTCTCTTTCGATATAAATATAACGGCATGCTGTTATTAAAAAGACTCGACTAATTATCTGATAAACAGACATTTCTTTTTTTTTTCAATGTTCTAAAATTATTATACATTTTTATTCGAATATGAATCACTAAAAAAACATTATTTTATGTTTATAAATTGTTTTCATTCAATAATAAAACAACATTGTACTAAGTAAGCTTGTATTTAATATAAACTAATCTTTAGTTTACTTTAAATTTTTTATTTATTAAAATATTATGATTGATTATTTTCATTTATTTCATATTTATGTTTTAATGTTTCATCAATCATTATTATAAATCAAGAAAAACAAAAAAAAAAAAGTCAATATGAAAAGTTATCTGTAATATAATTCTATATTTTTATTTATCTTGTTCAAAACCCATATGACATAACATTTAAAACAAAATGGATATAAAACATGCAAACTATATTTGAAAAAAAAAACAAGATACTATCTGTTTTTATTTTTTATTAATCTTTTTTTAAATCAATTGAGCATGTTCCATTACTTGGTTCAAATTCATAAAAACTTGCTTTACCCTTGTAACCTTTTTTAATTGTATCAATACATTTTTCAACTGATGATTTTTTTACTAATGTTACCGTACAACCACCTAATAAAGAAAAAGAAAATCAATCATAACTAGATAATAAAAATTTATTTACCAAATCCACCACCAGTCATTCGTGAACCATATACACCATCAACAGAACGTGCTAATTCAACAAGTTCATCTAATTCTTCACATGATACTTCAAAATCATCACGAAGTGATTCATGACTATCATACATCAATCGACCAAATTCATTATAATCATTATTAATTAATGCTTTTGCTCCTGCTTCTGTACGTTTTATTTCGGTAATAGCATGATGTGCACGTTTATAAATTACAGATGACATCTTTTCACGAACTTTTTCAAGTTCTTCAATTGATGATACTTCACGTAATTTTTTATGACCTAAAATTAAACAAATAATAAAAATAAAAGTTTACTATCGACATATATCTTAATTGGATATTAAGTATTGAATAATGCATATATATTCGTTTGATAGAATCAATAAGAGATGTAAGTTTAAATATTCTAAAAAGTCAACTAAATAACTTTAATCTTACCTAAAATATTAGCTGCTTCTTGACAATGTTTTACACGTTCAGCATATGTACCAGCAACTAATTCATGTTTGACATTTGAATTTGTTACTAAAACACATACTTCTTTATTTTTCATTGGAATTGATTTTGATGTATTATCTCGACAATCAATTAATAAAGCATGATCAGCTTCTGCCATACATGCTGTATATTGATCCATAATTCCACATGGTACATTTGCATATGTTTGTTCTGCTTTACAACATAATAAAGCTTTATCAATTTTTGATAATGGTTGAAAATCAATTGAAGAATGTTGATAAAGTAATTCAAGAAATGTGCACATAGCTACTTCAACTGATGCTGATGAACTAAGACCACCACCGATAGGTACAGATGTTGCAATAATTATTCGAAATGGTTGTTTTTTATTTGGTTTTGTACGTTCCAAAAAAAGAGCAAGTACACCAACAACATAATTAGCCCATTTAGGTGATTCAAATCGTGAGATTTTTTTTGTTAAATCAAGTTCAATTGATTTCGGTTCATCCACATCATCTTTTAAAATAAAACAAAAAAAAAAAACAATCAATCATTCTTATTAAGTAAGTCTAAAATTTCGGTAAATGGGGACAATTCAGAATAAAGGGTAGTGATTATATAGGATCAAAAAAACATGTATATTTTCAAGTTCATTAACGATGATACCAGTTAATTTTTTTTTTGAATCTTTTCTATTGAGAAAATCAAAACCAATTTCGTAAGATAAAGGAAGCGATCATCATCATTCCATTTCTAAATTTGCCCATTGAATAAATAATTAATATTTACTTGATAATGTTCGAATATAACATTTATTATTAGTTGAATCATCTAATGCTTTACCAATAATCATTGTACCAAGTGGTATAGCCATAGGAAAAACAAATCCATCATTATAATCAACATGTTCACCAATTAAATTAACACGACCAGGTGCAAATGCACATATAGTTGGTTCATCATTTAAAAATTCTTTTCGATAAGAATTAAGAAGATTAGTTTTAAGTTCTTTTAATGTTGTTGTCGTTTCCGATGTCATGATGTATCGAAATTTTAGAAACAAATAATTTGATCAAGGACTAAAAGCACTCCCCTCTCTATTTTTACGATGATGATGCTATCTTTTATATTGAATATTTTCATTGGTTCAAAATAAAAACCAATAAAAACTATTGTTTGTTTTTTTTCTATATATGTCGGAGTAGAAATTAAAATTCTACTAGAAACTTATACTATAGAAGTATGCGAATTTCTTCTAGAATAGAAAATGAAATTAACCTGTATGTGATCACTAGATTATTTGATTTAATGCAAAAATCAACTTGTAATTCGCCAATAGTAACTAATTTAACGTGTTTATTGATTTAGAATTTAAAGTGAGCTTCACTCTAACCATCTTTTATTACCAATATGATTTCATTGTAACCAACTTGTGTGATAAACATTTTGAAAGAAAATTTTTCCCTAAAGATTCTCTATGTTTATCAAATTTCGAATAAAATAGTTCTATATTGAAGTGTTTTTTCTTTTGATACTGACGCGAGGAGTTGAAATTAAATATCCAAAATCTGTTTTTATTCTTTTCGTTTGACATATTGTATAATTAAAATAAATGTTAATTTTATTTTCTATTCTAGGATAAATTCGCATACTTCCATAGTATAAGTTTAGTAGAATTTAAAATTCTCCTATAGTAGAAATTAAAATTTTAACTTCTACTAGTGCAACTTAAAATCGCCTGTTATTTCGATTTCTACTCCGACATATATATAATTTTGAAATAATATTTCAAATATACAGGAAAATTTTTCAATGGCAACAAATTCTTCTTCATCAAATATTCCAAAAAAATCAATAAAAGATTTTAAATTTATTAAAGAAATTGGTACTGGTTCATATTCAACAGTAAGAAGAAGAAGAAAAACGATATTACATTTTATTTATTTATTTATTTATTATCATTTAGGTATTTTTTGCTATTGAAACAGCAACAAATCGTGAATTAGCAAGTATGAATTTGTTTTCATCTTTTTATATTAAATTTCATATTTGATTTAGTTAAAGCAGTTAATAAAGATTTAATAAAACGATTAAAAAAAATTCCACAAGTTTTTCGTGAAAAAGAAATTCTAGCACGATTAAATGATTGTGATTATGCAGTTAAATTATATTGTACATTTCAAAATGAAAGTACACTTTGTACGTATTAAATAATTTATTTTTCTCTCAAAAATATTTTATATTTAGATTTTGGTCTCACTTATTGTTCAAATGGTGATCTTTTACAATATATAACTGATGCCGGTCATTTTGAAGAAAATATTGTACGATTCTATGCTGCTGAACTTATTGAAGCACTTGAACAATTACATATTCGACATATAATTCATCGTGATTTGAAAGTAAAGCAAAAGAAAAAAAAATAATAATAATAAATTTTTTTTTTGTGTTTTTGTTAAAGCCGGAAAATATTCTTTTAACTGATGATATGCATATTCAATTAACTGATTTTGGTTCTGGTGTTATTATGGATCAAAATGAAATATCTCAAATAAATAATAATGAAAGTCAAAATGGTGAGAATACATTAATACAACGAAAGAATTCATTCGTTGGCACAGCTCAATTTGTAGCACCAGAAATTCTTCAACATGGTCCAATTCATATTGGGTTTGTTAACAAATAATCATTTGATTATGAAAATATTTTTACTATTGATTTTAGATCAGATTTTTGGTCACTTGGTTGTGTTATTTATCAAATGGCTACTGGTAAACATTTATTTCATGGCTAGTAAGAAATTTTTCATTTGATAGATAAAACAAAATTCCTTTTGAATTAGTTTAGTCATGAATATGATATTTTCAATGCTGTTGTTCGTGTTGCTTATAAATTACCTGATGATTTTTCAAATATTATTGGTGATCTTATACAAAAACTTGTGGTAAATATTTTCTATGTCGTATGTTTACTTTGAAGGTTCTGAAATTTCACTGATTTGAGTATAAATTAGATAAGGATGTGGGTGTCGGATATGAATAAAGACATATACACACCTATACTCTCAAACTACCGTTAGCTGAAAATGTGTACGGCTAGTTTCGAGACTCGAACTCAAGTTTACAGTAAAATATTCTATATTTTTTATGCAAATTTTTCATATGAATAAGAAGGTGTTTTGTTGCTTCATACTTTTTTTTTTATCGATTTAGCGTTTGGAACCCGCAGAACGACTTGGTAGTGAAGAAACAGGTGGAATGACTCAATTGAAAGCACATCCATTTTTTCGTGTAGATTCTTATGATACTAAATGGGGTAATTTATTAAATCAACGATCACCACTTGAACCTAAAATGAAACTTAATTCAAGACCAAAGATAAACAATGATAAGGTATAAAAATAGAAAATGAACGATTGATATTTTTGTTTTTGTTTTCAAAATTCTTGAAAAAATAAAGAGTTTAACCAATTGTGCTATCAATTGATATAAAAGATTTTATCTTTTAGTTCAAGTTTTATTTTTATTAACGATGAAATAAGAGAATATTATTAAATGTTTAGTATAATTCTTAAAAGAAAATGAAGA